CAACAGACATTCACCCTTCTACTCCCATGTCTGACATTTACACACCATTTTGCGTTTTCCTTTTCCTTCAAGAATTGTAACAATACCAGTTTTGAAGCATAACTTCCAAAAAGTCAATGGTTACTCTGCTGCTAATGACACCTCTTTCAGCCAGGAATATTGTGTTGTGCTTGTTTTATGAAATAGTTAACATAAATGAAATTGACTTAAAAATCACCCTTTCTCCACACATATTTGTTTTCCTGAGGAACCAACAGAAGAAAACATGGCTTCACTTTGCTGCCCAAGTTTAAGGTTGTCTTGGGCAGGGACAGTGGTCAGATTTTTTGTCTTTCCAGAGTCAGGAAGCGGAGACCCAATTTTAAAATAAAAGCAATTGGTGCTACGGTCAAGCCATTTCCTCCTTTGAGCACTTTGTTCCAAAGCCAACCTTAGAAAAAGCCAGCCTATAGGGCCAAATGGAAATAACAATTTTTGCAAAATCGAGCAGGACAAATTAGTCCCTCAACTATGGATGTGATAAGAAAGCATCCTGTTCTTTTAAGAGTACTGCTCCATCCCCACTTATTAAAGGACTGTAGAATAAATGTTACCCAAATCGGCCTTTTCCTGTATAGTTTGACAGAGGGAAGAGAGAATCAACTAATATATAATGATTTAACATGCAACTTATTTCACCTTTTGATTCAACAAGTATTTATTTGAGCATCTACTTCCTTGCGAGCTCAGGATCAGGCTCATTAAAACGATTACTGTGAGGGCCACACAGCGGCACCTCTGTGGCCCCACCACACTGAGTTGATCCAACAGATCCATGTTTCCATGTATGCATCACCCCGTTCCTGGACCTCCTTTTCTCCTCCCTCCCTCAGAACTCTCTGAACGAAAAGGGAGAGCCTTCCAGTTGTCCGCCCTGGCTTAGAATCAGCTCAGATGGATCCACAGACAGCAGAGGTTCAAACCTCAGCGTTCCAAAGGTCCAGTTTCTATTTGACTCAATTAAAGTTCCATCCCCTCAACACACAGGCCAGGACAGTTGATTTAAAGCCATTCCCAGCCTTAGTCTGCCCTGGACTTAGCAGGGCCAGCTTGGGGCCTGGGGGAGCTGGAGTACAGCTGAAAATGACCACGTGGCTACTCAGCCCTCACCTTGAGCATTTCTGCTTAGATCCAGAGGTGGGAGTGGGGAGGAAGCTGGAGGAGGAATAGATTCCGAGAGTGGGGAGGGTGAGAGGGTGGAAGACATCAAAATAGTTAAAGTCTTTTAAGTCCAAAAGGGAAGATGGCACTGAGAATGAACATGAAAATAAACTTTCAGAGTCATCCACTCAATGACATACACTCAGGAGGGTGAGAAAGTGCGGCTCTCAGACTTTGCCTGCGAATTCCTGCTCCACAGGCCCAGACACCTCCATCTCCTCTAGAAGAAGATGGGAGGGCTGCTCTTGACCCTAAATATCCCTGCGTCGACGTCAGCCAGGACCACGGACAGCTCCCGCCCCTCGGTCCTTTGGCCCCCTCCTGGCTCTGGGCAGTCTCCAGTTCCACCCAGAAAGACCAGTAGTGTGGCCGCCTGGATCGCCTCCTCTTGCTCTGTTCCCTCCCCAACCACTCCCAGTGTCTTCTAAGAGCCTGGAGTCTGATTTTGAGCTAGGCGCCCCACCAAGAGCAAAAAGCAAGGCACGCCTCATGAAGACCAAGGCCACAACTCGCTGGCAATTTAGCTTCAGCATCGGAGAGGCAGCATCCAGGGAGATGACAACGGAAAGAAGGCGGCCGCAGCCCCAGGAGACGTCAGGGCAGAGGTGACCTTGCTTTTCTCCCTGAGGGAGGCTGGCTTGTCAAGCCGGCCCAAGGCATTGAGGTACCTTTCACTTTGGGTCCCTATTCGATTCCACCTGAGGGAAAGGGGAGAGGGACATGTGAGAAGGCTCTCTGCACACTGGAGCTGAGATTTCCAAGGAAGATAAGCCTAGTCACTCTAGCTTTCACCTTCACACCTCATCTCCAGCCCCTCCTATCCCTGATCTTTCGGGGGAGGGGGGGGGGAAGGCTTGGCCAGAGGTGGAATTCCTTCACCCATAGTCCCCTTTCAGTGTCCCAGTCTCACTAACCACTGTGTGGTCTATACACTCCCCACCTCCCCTCTTTCCAGATATGCCAATCTCCAAGGCCTGTAGAAAATGCTGAGAGGAAGGTTGGTCTCCAGGTCCAGGCTGGGGTTGAGACCTGGGGGTTCTTGCCTTCTGTTGGACAATAGGGAGGGGCTATAATATCCTTCTGTTCAAGTTAGTCTTCTCTTCTGGCTTCCATTCTAAGTGTAGAGGCAAAGCTCAAGGAGAAAAAGTCTTCTTGTCCCTTCTAGACTAAAGAAGCTTTCCACAGATACAGCCTTTGTTCAAGAAACTGGATCTCTCTCTCTCTCTCTCTCTCTCTCTCTCTCTCTCTCCCCCCCTCTCCCTCTCTGGTTGGTGGGTGTGCAGAGGGATGGAAGGCATATTTCAATTCAACTGAACAACACCTTCTAAGGCTTTGGTCTCTGTGAACCCCCAAAAGACTCAGGGCTCGCCCAGGTGACAGCAGTCAGGCTGGAAGGCTTGGTGTATGTGGAGATGGGAGGTGGGGGGAGAAAATGGAGGGAGAAGGAAAGATACACACTAGGTTTCCTTCCTGGTTGGGAATTGGAATGGGAATGCAAACATGCTATTGCCCTTGGAAATTTATAATTTAAAGAATTGCTTCTGGTTGTGGGCATCTGAACTAGAATCAGAAGCAGGAAGTATTTGTGGAAGGGAATCTGAGAATCTGAAAAC